ACTTTTTGTTATTTGTATGCATTGAATTAATCTGATTGGAGTTATTTATATGTTTTTGAATTGAGCTACATTAATTTGTAAAAGTTACGAATGAAATGTCATTAGTTGTATTTATGCAATGTTGTTGTAAATATTAAAAAATTTGATTATGGTACGGAACCGAACCGACCCGAACCGAACTAAACCCGAACGGTTCCATAATTATATTTGGATCCGACGGGTCCATTTATTAAATATTCGAAAGTTTTAAGTCGGTTCGGGTCTCTTCAGAATCGAACCGAACCGACCCACGGACAGCCCTAGCTCCATCACTGCACATGAATAATCAAGAACTAGCTCAAGTGGTAGTGTAAGTCTGAACGGGACAATTGATATTAGTTGTGGTCACCTTTTGGGGGATAATGGTGAAATTCAAAACAAAATATGAATGTGGTGGCCCATGAACTTGCCTGTAGAGTTACTTTGATTGAGATTTGGTATACTTCCATGTCCCAAAGAGATAGGTTCGCTTTCTTTTTTCGTTTATCCCAAATTATAGGTCACTTTATATTTTCAGTTTCTGTAACTTTACTCCGGCAATCTTAAATTGTTAATAACTTGTATAGTGATAGTGCTAGCAATTGATCACAACAAATTTATCGCTTGGTTGACGATACAAGTACAAATAAATAATCATTCAGACTTCAAATTCTTGGCACAAAATACTTAAAAGAAATTAATGAAAAGTTGCAAACGAGTATGTTATTCTTTGTCTTACAGAGCACATATTTTACATAAATATTCCAAAGCTTAATTGAACTTCTTATTATATGATGGTGTTGCTCCTGTACTAGACTTGCAACTTGAAATCCTCAAGGCTGGATTTGTCAATTGCTTTCGAGAAAAATTTGCTTATATAATTACTTACTGTAAACTTGTCATATATTGGGGGGTTTTCTTCTGTTCTCATCTCTTCGATTGGACCATACATCTTTGGGGGCGCTGCAATACCAGTGAAGAAGCACGCTGTAGCAATTCTTGGTCCTACNTTGGGGGGTTTTCTTCTGTTATCATCTCTTCGATTGGACCATACATCTTTGGGGGCGCTGCAATACCAGTGAAGAAGCACGCTGTAGAAATTCTTGGTCCTACCTGGTTGGCTACCACTCTATGCTCAGCACTTTTGAACTCGTCATTCGATATAATCTGAAACATATCAAGGCCGGATCATGAGAAAGTGTTATAAAACCTTCCCGGAAGCCAGTTCGACGAACCTAAAAATTACGTGTTGTTAATAAATCATGATGAAAGCAGGTTAACCTGGAAGAGGTCTCCAATGTTTACTACTAAACTACCAGCCAGGGGCTGAACATTAATCCATTGATTGTTGTTCAGGACTTGAAGGCCACCAATTTGATCTTGTAGAAGAACAGTTAAGAAACAAGGATCTGTGTGCTTGCTGGTTCCCAGAGTCAGCTCCGGCTCTGGGCACGCTGGATAATAGTGACAAACAAAAATGCGTCCTTTGGCGCATCCCATCTCAACTAGGTGTTCTCGTTTTAGGCCAAGAGCTTCTGCTAATAACTTGAACAAAAGTTCTCCTAACTTTGTTACTTGATCAATGTACTCCATTGTTGAACTTCTGCTAATCGAAAGATATATATGGAATTCAGTTAAATCTTTTTGCTTTAAAGTTAGAAACAACCACCAGAGAAACAATGATTCATCAAATTCTTATATAATACACAGAAGCAATGTACTTAACATGGAAATGAAAATATTCATGACTTTATGGCATGTTTGGCATGGAGGATTGAATAGTAGTACTCGACATTATTTAAGAAGCAAAATAAGTTAAAATTTTGTTTATCGTACTTTCAAAATTTACCTACCTGCAAACTGCTGGCAATTCATCAGGTTCAACACGATCTGAAACCAGTAGAGATATAGTTAATGTATCCCTCCAATTAGCAGAGCTCGACCGGTACAAGTCAATATTGCTAGCATATTTCACCTTTTTGAGCAGATCACGAGAGTAAAACTCTTTCTTAATCTCAGCATCTTGTTCATGAAACCTGCGTATTCCCTCAAGCATATCGTCTAAAACACTCGGAGGGATTCCATGATTCAACACTTGGAAAAACCCACAATCTTTCGATGCTTGTTTCAAATCATTGATGATCTTTTTACGATGATCACGATCAGTTTCAATTCCTGTTAGATCAATGGTTGGAACTTGAATATTTG